AGGCAGTGGTGAACACGTGCACGGTCGTAATCGAGAATCAGGTTGCAAAGGCAGAAATCTTCCTGCAAGGTAAAATGGTGGAAATAACAAGATCGGAGGAATTGGAAGTTTTGTAATGCATTCCAACTTTTTTGCTAACAAAAAAGGAACACACTGTGAAGACGAAAGTGATACAATTCAATAAAAAAGCAAAGTATGCACAGCTCATCTGAGCAACTATCCAGGCATTGCGAATGCTATGGCATACAGTGCACAATTGAAAGTGCGTCACAGTTCATAATAAAATTTCCAATCAATTTTTGCATCTCCATGATGTTCAGTATGAAAGTATCGTCGCCAAAGTTACCACAGTTCCTTTAGATTAAAGGGAAAACCATACTGCAGTGTCTAAATGTGTCTCTGCTGATAACGACTACGATTCTTGAAATATTTTAATTTCCATCTAATTCTAGAATACATATAATCCAGATTTTTTGCGTACAAATGTCTGACTAACGAGCCACCACAGATAGAATTACGTTACATAAGCAGGTTGGGTATTGATTTGTTAAACAGTACAAGGGCTTACAAAATAGCTTTGTGGGGTTGATCGATAAATGTCTACAGAATAGCTTACTAAAGTGAATGATAGAATGTTTTTTGAACTAAGAGAAATTTATAGAGAGCATTCGACATGGGATATATACTTACAATAAAAATAAGATGATCTTTAAGCAAGAGCCGCAGCTCCATTTAATAATTTGGAACAAGTATATATCTCTTCCTATAACCTACTACATATTTTTCCTCATAGTATATCGGAATGGGCAATTCTGAGTTGTTTGGCTCGGAGACAAATCTTCAGTTTGGTTCTCGGCGAGATTGAGCAGGGACGCCGAGCATTTTGAAAGAAAATAGTTTGGCCCTACATGTTTAGAGACATTGCTTCATGGCCCCAACGAAATCGACGAGCATGCAGTACAAGGGGAAAGGAGAGTATGACTTCATGAGTGATAGCTTCAATTGAAAGTAGTAGCAAACCCGAAAGCGCCTAACTTCTTTTTGTTTGGGGTGTTTTTAGCTAAAAAAAACCTCGTTTATAACTAGGCTAAACCACTGTGCTAATATTCCCTTACCAAATGACAAAAATTATTGGGTTGTTGGAAAATTCGCGCTTTTTTTTCAACTGAATTGATCTGCCAGTAGTTTCATAACATTATATATCATGGAGACTATCAAAGGAGACTCCCTCTACAAAATAGTGCATGATTTGTTCAATTAGTTTGCCTTTATAGTAGCGTATGAAAATTTGGAGCGTTAAGGAAAGTCTAACCGACATGTATATGCAGACCTCGGCGGCAGGTCTCTGGAAGGCAAGCTGGAATTCGTTTTTGTGGGAAAAGCAAAGGGGAAATCGTATGGGGTCCGAAGAAGAGCGGAGTTCAATCTCAATTAATACCCTTTTTCCACAAAATGAATGTTGAAGCTCCCCACCATTCCTCTTATTATTCAATTATATACGCATTCTGTGATCGTCCAAAAACATGCTCCAACACGGATCCGATGTCCGTTTCAATGCGGGCATTTGCGCGGGAAATTCAAACGAATTTCACAATATTTATATAAACCGGTTTTTCTTAGCGAGTAGACAATAAAAATCCACCAAAACTGGCATAAAGATGCACAAAAAAGAGTAGAAGAAGTGTTTGAAAAATCTTTGAAATATTATGAGAATAAAGAAATCGCCGTACCTTTTTGTGATTTAGGTCTGCGGCGGAGACCTACGGGAGACCTCAGGTCTCCGATTAGCAAACACTTTTTTGTTTCTCATAATTTTGCGTTTCTAATAGCAAACACTTTTTGTGCATCCTTTGCCCCAACTTACAGCGTAATAACCAGATCAAAGCACTTTCTCCCTTCCTTGCTAGGGCCCTAAATCGTATCACTTTAATGAAGAAAACGCGCTCCAAGTATATCGCACTGCAATGCTTGTCCTGATTGCACGTGTCTGTACAGGATACAAAAGGAGCTTCGTGATTTCCTGGATTTTCAGGCGGGGATTCGTTCTCCTAAGGTCCAATCGGAGACCTCGTGCTAAGGCCTGTGTATATGTAAGATCCGTGAGTGCAAGTTCTTTATATCGAATAGTCATTCCATCGGACCTCAACCTCACTATGGATAACAACCAGAGTATTTTCTTTAGAAAGCTTTATTAGAAAAGGCATAATGATACAATGGACAATGCATTTGGAGAGTAAATACACTACTACAGATATGTGAGATGACGAAAAAAAGCGAGTGAAGGCTCCATCCGGAGTCTTCGAGCCGGCAGGTTCGTTTCTGTCCCTCTCCTCTTCCTCATTCTAGTTTTGTATGCGGTCCAAACAATCATCCAAAAGGTCACTGGAAAAAAAAAACCTTGCTCTTGAATGAGTAAGTTTGATTGCTGGCGCTTGCCGCAGTGCGATGTTGCACTTGATAATTACCATAGCGGCGTACCTCACAGTATAAAGCGAGATGTTTGGAAATTACTACACAGCATTTTGTTGAAGTGGTTAAATATGCTTTTGGACGTGCATCTTGAAAGGAAATTGGGCCGTCAGTTGATTTAGCTCCAAATTTTCAATCTCAAACAGCAAGAATGCAGATAGCCAGATAGACTCTT